GAGGACAGAATCCGTAAGACAAGAAATAAAATTGGTGTGGCCTTAACATGCTGACAGGTGAAAAATTGATAAAGTTGCTTCACTGATAAATATAGTTTGCAAAATAAATGTATCATATCACAAGATATGCATTAATAATCAGTTTGAAACTAATTTCTTCGACTTGCATTGATCAGATGTTTTATCCTTCATCAACCATTCCCAAACATTGTCTTTCTAAAATGTATTTTCCTGACACTTGTTGTAAAGAAATAGTATTTCTTCACAATATTTTCTATCATTGATTGATCCACCATTATTTTCATGTCAGTATGCTTTTATGTGATAAGAAATCACATGTGAATAACATCATATTTCAGCATACTAGTATTGCTATTCAGAAACCAGCCAGCCCTTGACATCATTAAACATTAATAGTTTTGTTGGACCATAGTACAATACATAGTTCCACATCCATTCAATTATCCTAAGATCAGAGATAAATAATGTTATGAGGGCTTCCAGTATTGTATTTCCCCAACGTTCATGGCTGTTATTTTATATGTAATCTGAATACATTATTGATTTTCCTTGTTAATATGCATTAATCAGTATGACATATCTCTCACCCATCAGCTGATAATTATCCTTAGTTTTTTTACTGCAGTTGTCCATGAGGACAACCCTAGTTATATTTATGTATGCCCTAATAAAACTATAGATAGAAATGTTGTTTGATTACATATCAGAGTAAACATTAAATGTCCACATTAATTTTCTCATTCGAAACGCATTTGAACATTTGGTAGGAGAAACATTTTTCTGTATTAATAAGGTTGAATTGACATGAAAGAACAAGTCAAGGTTAGTCTTTATGTATTATGTATCAATTGATTGCTAATACAAATATTAGTTAAATTCTTATATTATTTTAAATATTGATTTGTTAAGACATTTTTCTGTATTAATAAGGTTGAATTGACATAAAAGAAGTAGGTCAAGGTTAGTCTTTATGTATTATGTATCAATTGATTGCTAATACAAATATTAGTTAAATTCTTATGTTATTTTAAATATTGATTTGTTAAGACATTTTAAACTTTATCAATAGTTTTCTTATGAAATAATTCATAGATTAATAGAAAGTAAATTAATGTCATTTTACTAATGGGATATTAATGAAAAGGAGGAGAGATATCTTGAATTAAAATAAACTTGCTTTAAGTAGGCTATTAAGTGGATGATGTGTTTCTTAGTGGATATGTGGCCTGTACTGCTGATATAAAGTTCAGAGAGGGTTGTGTTGTCTGAATGAGACTGTTCCATGAGACTATGCATAAAGTTTCAGAGAATCGAAGTAACTCTCAATATTTTTGTAATATTTTAATGTGATCAATAAATATTCACAATTTTGTCTTTGTTCAGTGTTTCATGTGACAGCCCTGCTCTTCCCTGACCCCTAGGGGTATGGGTTGCTCTGTGATCTTAGTGCTTGTATATTCTATTATATTGGTGTAGAATGCTGCTTTGCTCTGATTATGTGGCTAGATTTGATGCCACCATACCAGTGTTTATTGGTTTACCTAAGTTGTGTAATTCCGAGACCTGCCTTGTTTGTTTGTTATATAATCCTACACTCAGCAATATTCCAGCTATATAATGGTGGTCTGTAAATCATCAGAAAACAAACTGGTGTTGGTAATAGCTGTCAATTTGGATTAAACAAAATGTTAACAAAATGGTACAATCATAATAAAAACACCACCTTGTAAGAACAAAAGTTTGCATTTTGATTTGAAAGGTGGAGTTTCTTTTGCGGTTCAGTATAGTTGACGCCCCACTCAGCAATATTATAGCTATATGGCGGCAGTAAAATAATGGAGTCTGGACCTGACAATCTGGTGATCAACAGCATCAGTATCGACCTACGAAATTGGGAAGCTATGACATGTCAGCGAGCCTGACCACCCGATCCGTTAGCCGCCTCTTACGACAAGCATGGGTTGTTGAAGACCCTGATCTTCACGGGTCAAATAGAGATCGACAGCCGCGTGTACAGAGTAATAACATCTGAGAAACAGACTCCGAGAGTTGAGTGAGCTTCAATTTGTCGTGATTACCATCTGGTTGGATTGCACCAGATTAATCAAGGGAAAACGGAAACTAAACACTCAGAAATTAATTCACTTCACACTGCTTTTAGCAATATTCCAGCAATATGATGACGGGGACACCAGAAATAGACTTCACACATTGTACCCATGTGGGGAATAGCACCCCGGACGTCGGCGTGGCGAGCGAACGCTTTAACCACTAGGCTACACCGCCGCCCCGTAGTGTTACGAGCTGCCGTAACTATATAGTTTATTATAGTCTTACGAATGACGTTGTGCTCCGAACGCTTTGTGGATCGAGCTTCTCGAATAGGAAAGCGATGTCGAGCTTCAGAGTTGCATTGAAAACGAAACGCTGAATAGTCAAACACTGCACGTACTGCATTACCTCTGGCCAGCATATATATCCACGCAACTAATACATTAACATACAGAACTGAAATACTAAATGGAATGGAGTTAGCCTCGATTCACGCTACGAAGGTGATGTATCGGTTGTGTATTTAGATAAAAGCATGCAACTGATGTGATTTGTTATCAAATGATTAAGGCTATCCCATCGCCCAACAACCAGATGAGAGAATGAATGTTGTTCAACGCCGTCGTTAGCAATCAATGCTTGATCAAGACTGCCTGAAAATAATCGATTCGATGCCAAACAAACCAGTGATTAAAGCTGGAGCAAGGACACATACAGACAAGTAAAGTCCTCCATTATGACGAGCTTGGGGTATGGAAATGTATTTTGATCTGTGTTCCTGACAGTCTGTGTGCTTAATGTTTAACGCCGCACCGTGTTCCTAACACGGTATAGTATGGAACCCTGGAAGGGACATTGTCGCGTTGTCGCATTGTCGCCCTCTCAAATACAAGCAAAATTAACCAAAACGCGACACGCTCCATCGCGACATATTTTGACCTTGAAAATTGTCGCTATGTCGCGTGTCGCCTTTTGGAGGAATAGAAATTTTTTATTCAAAACGCGACCCGCGACATCGCGTCAATGCGACAAATCGGCGAAATGTCGCGTGTTGCGTTTTGGTATATTTTGCCTCACTTTACTTGTTTTTGAGAGGGCGACATAGCGACAATGTCCCTTCTCGGATTCCATAGTATAGTGCCAGGTGAAGTGTGTGCAGGGGCATTCTCGTTGTAACGTGTTTAGAAGTGTGATTAAAGAGTCGCTATTTGACGGTTTGCAGTCTTCTTAGTTGGTTCTTCCTCTCCAAACTAGAAACGATGCTGCCTTGAATATTTGTTTGTTTGTGGTTTAACGCTGCATCCAGCAATATTCTAGCTGTATGGCGGTGGTCAGTCAAATAATCGAGTCTGGCTCAGACAATCTGGACAGTGGTCAACGGCATGAGCATCGATCAACAAATTCAGCGAGTCTGACCACCCAATCCCGTTAGTCGCCTCTTGGTGAGTCGCAAACATGGGTTTCTGAAGACCAATCTTGGTTAGATAATAAAATCGAATAGAACACACAAACGTGACAGTTGAATTAGACTGTGAATAGGGATAAATCCGCGAACACTCTTGACACCTAGACGAGAGAATAGACATACAGTCACGAATAGACATGAAACCGCGATTGAAACAGACAAACGTGAATTCCATAGAAAAAGGACCGGGAATATGACATAGTACCGTGGATAGAATATATACCATTGTATAGAAAGTTCACCTGTAAAGAACATACATGTGACGACATGACTACGAGAATAACACTCACTCCTGTCCTCCACACGGTCTACCCCTATTATAAGCCTTTTGAAAGCTCACCAACCCGTGAGGGTCCGGGTTAGAATATTGATCTTCAGTAACCCATGCTTGTCGTAAGAGGCAACTAACGGGATGGGGTGGTCAGGCTCGCTGACTTGGTTGACACATGTCATCGGTTCCCAAATGCGCAGATCGATGCTCATGTTGTTGATCACTGGATTGCCTGGTCTAGACTCGATTATTTACAGACCGCCGCCATATAGCTGAATAATTGCTGAGTGCGGCGTAAAACTAAACTCACTCACTCACCAAAGAACTGGAGCAAAAACCACGTACGATATGTCACGAAACATTCCAAATAGAAAGGTGAAAAAAACAGGCCACTTCAAATGATCATTTATTCAGAAAAACATGTATATTCCCACAACAATTTCCACACTGAAAAACTCCACTGCTCATGGACGCTCGAATGCAGAAAAGCGCCCAAGCCCAACGGAGGTCAGGGGAGATTATCCATTTCCGGTTGCAAATCTTCCCGTCATCAGGCCTTTCATTATGCAATGATTATTGCTGGAATATACGCGCTTTAAACGTTTGCCACTTATACATTTTAAGTGTGCCTTCTACGGTTGTTCAGGGCTAATATCGCAATTCTATCTTTGAAATACGTCTTATCAGTGAACTACTATTCATCCAGGTGTAGTTCAAACTATATAGCTAAACATATGGGTGTTTAGCGCTATGAGTATTGATGTTCAAGGTGAAGGCCATACAGTTTGAAAGCATGCCCCTACGTCTTTGAGGAAAGTTGTCCTGTTATAAGAGTGAGTGGGTGAGTTTAGTTTTACGCCGCTTTCAGCAATATTCCAGCAATACCACGGCGGGGGCCACCATAAATCGGCTTCACATATTGAAACCATGTGGGGAATCAAACCTGGTCTTCAGCGTGACGAGCGAACGCTTTAACCACTAAGGTACCCCACCGCCCCCTGGTCAAAAGAAAGACTGCCAAAGCCAAAGCAAACATGCGTACAGAGTGGATGTTAATATGTACAATCACTGTTCTCGTTGAACTGACTATGAAGTTGCCAGTGTATAGAAGACAACAGTGTTATAGGCTCCAAAACTAGAAAATGAAGAAATACTCTTAATAGGTGCACACAGAGAGGGGGGGGAGAGGAGGAATCCACAGCACCATTAACAAGATGAAATGAAAAATAATGGGTTCATATCGCATGTAGAAGAATTGCCCATTTCTATGTCAGTTTGTACATCCTTTGGCTTCTGTGTTGCTACTGGTCACTGTCCACGGTCTCCTCTAGTAGCGTCTTGATGTCGGTTGTCATCTCTCCCGGCAACCTCTTGTAATGATGCCTAGACACCGGCCTTCCTCTCTTATTGATGAGAAACTTCTCAAAATTCCAGCGGACGTCCCCGTTTCGGTAGGGCAGGTAGTAGATGCCAGGGCCGTCTGTGTAGAAGATGTCGGTTGTGGCAGCGCAGAACGACTACAGAAGAAAGAAGGTATTAGATCGGGATAGCATAATTATTGCTAGCAGTACAGCCTCATCTATAACCCCCAAATTCCCATTCGGGCACTCTCGGAAAGGCAAGAGTTGATTGGGGAAATAGTCAAAGGGACCTTCACGCTTCTAGGTTTCTGAGGCTCGACAGCCACATAAAGATGATGGCTGAAGAAAGAATCTTCGAGGGAGCAATAACTTCGACACAACGGTGTTGATTGAAATTTCCGGATAGAACGTTTGAAGCGGTAGTAAAATCGTATGACCCAATCCCGATAAATCCCCCGTTACTACTGCGCTGTGCTGACACCCAACACACATCCACCTGTGGATTGTGAGAGACTAAATATGTCTTTTTGTGTCAAACCTTTCTAAAAGAATCTAAAGGAACTCATCCGTTCATTTCTATTGAGGTTAATACATGTACACATTTCATCTACTATCGGTGAAATTAAACATCTAAATCTGCAACATACTGTAAACTACTGTGTTCGGGCCTCTCCATAGATAGGTAAACAAAGAGCGTTAGAGATAAGCTTACCTTGATATATATATGTAACACAAAGAGCATTAGAGATAAGCTTACCTTTATATATATATATATATACAACTACATATATATATCCAACACACACACACACACATATATATTCTTTAGATATTGAGACTACCTTGAGAGATATTTACAACGAGAGTCAAAGACCTAGCCTACCTTGAGATATGTATACAGCGGGTGCTGATTCTCTCCGTTTACTTCGATTTTCTCGAACATGCTGAAGTTCGGCTCAAATCCATCACCAGGACGAACATACTTCAGCGTGTTGAGAATCTCGGTGGCGTTAGCTCCAGGCTCTTGCTGAAAAAAAAGATTAGCCAAAATTTAATTCTTTACGTGCAATGAATTCATAGTTTTGGTATTGCACACATTTAAATCACACGTAGAAAAATCCTGCACACAATTCATATACACGTTATTAATTAGTGACAATTGAGTCCGTGATGAATTATATATCGGTTCGTTATGCACAGACGTCATCACACACGTGATATTCCGATGTAGTGTATAGAGCTGCAGTCAAAAGGCTTTGAATAGTTCGTTATATCCGTTTGTTCTCCACATCGGCATTTGTTATATATGTATCCTACAGTGGAAATAAGGAAAATTTTCGGCTGTTGTCATTTGCCCAATTTTACGTTGATGGATGAGATCAAGGAACATAGCCTTGTCGTAATCCTATCTTGGTTCTGCAAGTTCGTTATCTATAAAGGTCAGCTACCTTCCCAAATTGATTACAAGGGAAGCCCAGAATCCTGAATCCCTTGAACTCCTTCTGTAATGCATTCAGTCCCAGATATTGGGGTGTTGACCCTCAGAATCCCGCCACATTGACGATCAGCAGCACCTGGCCCCTGACACAAGAGAAAAGTATTGATGAGCACATGATATTGCCAGTATGTAGCATTCGTTAGCTATCTGTCGGGAATAAATGGAGACGTTCCATGAGCATAACCTTTTAATGTGTCTACACCTTTTCCTTTTGCCGCAGATCCTGTCTTAGAGGCTCAAAAGTGCAGAGTTTGGTTCCATCTGCGACAGAAACCTATGGGTTCGAATCCCACCTCCCAAACTGGTGCCCAGCAGCATGGGGGTAACAGAACTAGAAGGTGTAGTTATGTTACAATACATCCAGCAACGCGAAATACTTCCATATATAAGGCGTCTGATGATAATTTTGAATTCGGTAAATCAACTGATGATGGTAAACACAACGATCTGAGTGATGGTAAACACAGGGCGATCTGTGGTTCGTTGGCTCGTTTCGAAGACCCGGTTAGCACCAACCAACATTTAACATTCTGGTGTCCCCGCCGTGATATTGCTGGAAATTACTAAAAGCGGCGACTCAGTCATAATATCATGTGACTTGCCCTTGCCGTATCACTCACTACCCTGTGACAATACCCAGTTCCAATTATAACATTGTGAATATCCAGTTCCAATTATAACATTGTGAATACCCATTTCCAATCATAACATTTTGAATACCCATTTCCAATTATAACATTGTGAATATCCAGTTCCAATTATAACATTGTGAATACCCATTTCCAATCATAACATTGTGAATACCCATTTCCAATTATAACATTGTGAATACCCATTTCCAATCATAACATTGTGAATACCCAGTTCCAATTATAACATTGTGAATACCCAGTTCCAATTATAACATTGTGAATACCCAGTTCCAATTATAACATAGTGAATACCCATTTCAAATTAAAACATAGTGAATACCCAGCTCCAATTATAACATTGTGAATACCCAGTTCCAATCTTAACATTGTGTATACCCATTTCCAATTATAACATTGTGAATACCCATTTCAAATTAAAACATTGTGAATACCCAGCTCCAATTATAAAATTGTGAATACCCAGTTCCAATTATAACATTGTGAATAACCAGTTCCAATTATAACATTGTGAATACCCAGTTCCAATTATAACATTGTGAATACACAGTTCCAATCATAATATTGTGACTACCCAGTTTCAATAACAGTGTGAATACCCTGTTCCAATTATAACATTGTGAATACCCAGTTCCAATCATAATATTGTGACTACCCAGTTTCAATAACATAGTGAATACCCAGTTCCAGTCATAACATTGTGAATACCCAGTTCCAGTCATAACATAGTGAATACCCAGCTCCAATTATAACAGTGTGAATACCCAGTTCCCATTATAACATAGTGAATACCCAGCTCCAATTATAACATAGTGAATACCGAGTTCCAGTCATAACATTGTGAATACCCAGTTCCAGTCATAACATTGTGAATACCCAGTTCCAGTCATAACATTGTGAACACCCAGTTCCAGTCATAACATAGTGAACACCCAGTTCCAGTCATAACATAGTGAACACCAGTTCTAGTCATAACATAGTGAATACCCAGTTCCAGTCATAACATTGTGAACACCCAGTTCCAGTCATAACATTGTGAACACCCAGTTCCAGTCTTAACATAGTGAATACCCAGTTCCAGTCATAACATTGTGAATACCCAGTTCCAGTCATAACAGTGTGAATACCCAGTTCCAGTCTTAACATTGTGAATACCCAGTTCCAGTCATAACACAGTGAACACCAAGTTCCAATCATAACATAGCGAATACCCAGTTCCAGTCATAACATTGTGAATACCCAGTTCCAGTCATAACATAGTGAATACCCAGTTCCAGTCATAACAGTGTGAATACCCAATTCCAGTCATAACATAGTGAATACCCAGTTCCAGTCAAAACATAGTGAATACCCAGTTCCAGTCATAACATAGTGAATACCCAGTTCCAGTCATAACATAGTGAATACCCAGTTCCAGTCATACCAGTGTGAATACCCAGTTCCAGTAATAACATAGTGAATACCCAGCTCCAGTCTTAACATTGTGAATACCCAGTTCCAGTCATAACATAGTGAATACCCAGTTCCAGTCTTAACATTGTGAATACCCAGTTCCAAGTATAACATAGTGAATACCCAGTTCCAGTCATAACATTGTGAATACCCAGTTCCAGTCATAACATAGTGAATACCCAGTTCCAGTCAAAACATAGTGAATACCCAGTTCCAGTCATAACATAGTGAATACCCAGCTCCAGTCATAACATAGTGAATACCCAGTTCCAGTCATACCAGTGTGAATACCCAGTTCCAGTAATAACATAGTGAATACCCAGCTCCAGTCTTAACATTGTGAATACCCAGTTCCAGTCATAACATAGTGAATACCCAGTTCCAGTCTTAACATTGTGAATACCCAGTTCCAAGTACAACATAGTGAATACCCAGTTCCAGTCATAACATTGTGAATACCCAGTTCCAGTCATAACATAGTGAATACCCAGTTCCAAGTTTAACATAGTGAATACCCAGTTCCAGTCATAACATTGTGAATACCCAGTTCCAGTCATAACATAGTGAATACCCAGTTCCAGTCATAACATTGTGAATACCCAGTTCCAGTCATAACATAGTGAATACCCAGTTCCAAGTTTAACATAGTGAATACCCAGTTCCAGTCATAACATTGTGAATACCCAGTTCCAGTCATAACATAGTGAATACCCAGTTCCAATTATAACATTGTGAATACCCATTTCCAATCATAACATTGTGAATACCCATTTCCAATTATAACATTGTGAATACCCATTTCCAATCATAACATTGTGAATACCCAGTTCGAATCATAACATTGTGAATACCCATTTCCAATCATAACATTGTGAATACCCAGCTCCAATTATAACATTGTGAATACCCAGTTCCAATTATAACATTGTGAATACCCAGTTCCAATTATATCATTGTGAATACCCAGATCCAATTATAACATAGTGAATACCCATTTCAAATTAAAACATAGTGAATACCCAGCTCCAATTATAACATTGTGAATACCCAGTTCCAATCTTAACATTGTGTATACCCATATCCAATTATAACATTGTGAATACCCATTTCAAATTAAAACATTGTGAATACCCAGCTCCAATTATAAAATTGTGAATACCCAGTTCCAATTATAACATTGTGAATAACCAGTTCCAATTATAACATTGTGAATACCCAGTTCCAATTATAACATTGTGAATACACAGTTCCAATTATAACATTGTGAATACCCAGTTCCAATCATAATATTGTGACTACCCAGTTTCAATTACATAGTGAATACCCAGTTCCAGTCATAACATTGTGAATACCCAGTTCCAGTCATAACATTGTGAATACCCAGTTCCAGTCATAACATAGTGAATACCCAGCTCCAATTATAACAGTGTGAATACTCAGTTCCATTATAACATAGTGAATACCCAGCTCAATTATAACATGGTGAATACCCAGTTCCAGTCATAACATTGTGAATACCCAGTTCAGTCATAACATTGTGAATGCCAGCTCAGTCATAACATTGTGAACACCCAGTTCAGTCATAACATAGTGAACATCCAGTTCAGTCATAACATAGTGAACACCAGTTCTAGTCATAACATAGTGAATGCCAGTTCCAGTCATAACATTGTGAACACCCAGTTCCAGTCATAACATTGTGAACACTCCGGTTCAGTCTTAACATAGTGAATACCCAGTTCCAGTCATAACATTGTGAATACCCAGTTCAGTCATAACAGTGTGAATACCCAGTTCAGTCTTAACATTGTGAATACCCAGTTCCAGTCATAACACAGTGAACACCCAGTTCAATCATAACATAGTGAATACCCAGTTCCAGTCATAACATTGTGAATACCCAGTTCCAGTCATAACATAGTGAATACCCAGTTCAGTCATAACAGTGTGAATACCCAGTTCCAGTCATAACATGAGTGAATACCCAGTTCCAGTCATAACATAGTGAATACCCAGTTCAGTCATAACATAGTGAATGCCAGTTCCAGTCATAACAGTGTGAATACCCAGTTCCAGTCATACCAGTGTGAATACCCAGTTCAGTCATAACATAGTGAATACCCAGCTCAGTCTTAACATTGTGAATACCCAGTTCCAGTCATAACATAGTGAATACCCAGTTCAGTCTTAACATTGTGAATACCCAGTTCCAAGTATAACATAGTGAATACCCAGTTCCAGTCATAACATTGTGAATACCCTTGGTTCAGTCAAAACATGGTGAATACCCAGTTCAAGTATAACATAGTGAATACCCAGTTCAGTCATAACAGTGTGAATACCCAGTTTCAGTCATAACATTGTGAATACCCAGTTCCAGTCATAACATGAGTGAATACCCAGTTCCAATCATAACATAGTTAATACCCAGTTCCAAGTATAACATTGTGAACACCCAGTTCAGTCTATAACAGTGTGAATACCCAGTTCCAGTCATAACATTGTGAATACCCAGTTCAGTCATAACATAGTGAATACCCAGCTCCAAGTATAACATGGTGAATACCCAGCTCCAATTATAACATTGTGAATACCCAGTTCAGTCATAACATTGTGAATATCCAGTTCCAGTCATAACATAGTGAATACCCAGCTCCCAATTATAACATTGTGAATACCCAGTTCCAATTATAACATAGTGAATACCCAGTTCAGTCATAACAGTGTGAATACCCAGTTTCAGTCATAACAGTGTGAATACCCAGTTCCAGTCATAACATAGTGAATACCCAGTTCCAGTCATAACATAGTGAATACCCAGTTCCAAGTATAACATAGTGAACACCCAGTTCCAGTCATAACAGTGTGAATACCCAGTTCCAGTCATAACATTGTGAATACCCAGTTCCAGTCATAACATAGTGAATACCCAGCTCCAAGTATAACATAGTGAATACCCAGTTCCAAGTATAACATAGTGA